AATAGGGAGAGTACAACAAAAGCATCACCTTCATCCTTTGTAACAACCTTTTCATAAGCTGAAAAGCCATAGCCTACAGCGTTGGTGGCCTGTACTCGGACCTGGTAACTAGTGTCGGGTTTTAACCCATATATGGTGCAGCTATTGTTTGCTACATCAGAACAGTTGATCCCATTATTTGGATTGTTGTCGTCAACTGCTTGAACCAGGTAGCCAATCACAGGTTTTCTTACACTGTTTAAAGGGGCTTTCCAAGACACTCGGATAAAAGAACTTCCAATTTCCAAATGCGTTATTATTGGTGGATCAGGGATAGCTATAGCAAATAAGAGGATCAAAAGAAAGAATAAAAGAAATTTAACAGTTTTGCTCAAGTTCTAACGATAAGTTTAATTTTTTTCAGAATTAAAGATTACTGTTTGATAAAAATGGCATTGCTTGTGACTGGAAATGCATCACGAAAAGAAATAAATGAATCATTTGTAAGTGAAGTACTTTACCAAGTTGAACGAGCTCGAAGCTTCTAGTGTCGTGTCCAAGATTATTCCATGCGTAACACGAGTAACTGGTGAAATCTGATTGGCTGGTAGGTGTTACAGTTAAAGTACTCTGTGAGGTTGTTTTAGAGAATATGACGTCGGTCACCACGCCTTTCCCAGACCAGTGAATGGTAGGCCGAGGAAAACCCTCCGCCTGGCACTGGATTCTAGTCTCGTGTCCAATCCATGAACTGACATTTTTCTTGCTGGAAAGAACTGTCGGTTTATCTGGTTAGAAAAATGAAAACGAATGACTTTTTCTTTATATACACGATACATTGTGTCAGTTAAAAAGCCGGCCCATTTTGATCAATTTTTGATCAATTAGAGACGAGGCTTTCTCTCCATATCGTCCTTTTCTCCGTCAACTCAAGACGCAAGTGTCATACAAGGCCTTGCGAAGGACTAACAAACCACCTTGGAAAACCTCTATTTTTTTGTCAACACTTAAAAGGAAGGAAATTGATTTTGGCTGGTAGCAATGGTATATCGAAAATCGGTGAAAACTTCAGCGATGTGTCTTGCTCTCTCCGACTTCATTTGTAGGGCCTGTATGATAATAGCGATAATCTATAAAACCACAACTTACAATTGACGAGCACATTAGCTTGAGAGGTAACAGGTTTGCCAAACCCATTGGAAGCGATACATCGATAACTCCCTGCGTGACTTCTGTTGGCGTGACTGATGAACAGAACGCTTTCTGATGTTAGCTCTTTGTTATTGTCATGATACCAAGAAACATTCGCAGGTGGATTTCCACCAATATTACATGTTAGCAACAGTGGATCGCTTTCGTTTACGGTTTGGTTGTGTGGTCCATCAATGACAAACGGAGGGCCTGATGTGAAAAGTGTGGTAACAAAAGTAGTCCTTGATATAAGTAGAACAATATTTATATTTGTGGAGATATTTTTACACTTCACAATACATCACACACCACTCCTTACCACACCACACCACACCTCAACCCACCCCGCGCAACCCCAGCTCATTTCACCCCACCCTACTGCACCGCACTGCACCCCAACCCACCACACTACACCAAACCACACCATACCATATCACACCACACCTCATATGTAAGAACTGTACGAACGCAGTATTTACCGTTTACTGTGCCAATACCGATTCGATTTAGTGCCCTCCCTCCAATAAGCGCCCCCTCTCGGATAAGCGCCCCCCTTCCAGTGCGTTTTTATTAATAAACGCCCCTATTCCAATAGGAGTCGCCATTCCAATAAGCGCCCCTAAAGATATATGTTTTTACTTTGCTTTTACTTTGCTTAATTTGAATTTTTAAAATATTAATTTAATATCATAATATTATAGCGCCGTCAGAGTATGTATCAATGGAGGTTCATCTTACTTAATTGCTTACATACGTAATGCCGCATTACAAAAACAGTGGTCTTCGTCTGAGTTTCTCAACTATTATGTCTGATCATCGAAGATGCCGCACCAGAAAACTTTTTTTTACCTATTGATGTACCGAAACTGACCCTGTCAAAGTTGTCGGCGTCAAAATAGATTAAAATTCCCTCTCGTTAACTGAACATTTACCGTATATTTGTTACTGTCACAGTTTCTGTTATTGTTCCTTTTTTAATGAATACCGTATTAAAGTTTTGTTTTGAACATTCGGTTGTTTCTCCAAAAAGCATTAAGTGCCCAATCCCGAGTAACCGAAATGCCTCGAATAAGCGCCCTCTCTTGAGGTACCTAAAGTAAATAAGCACCCTGGGCGCTAAATAGGATCATTACTGTAACAAGGAAAAACATATCTAAGACACAAATCTCCCTGCATCTTACCTTGCACCGTAAGGTTTAACATAGCACTAGAACCACGCCCAGGCGCATTCTGTGGAACACATTCATAGGCGCCTTGGTCACGATAACTGACTTGTGTTATGTTAAAAGATCGAACAGTTCCTTTCTGTACAGCAACACCATCTTTGTAAAAAGTATAATTATAAGGTGGCGGGCTGGATTTTGTTCTACACGTGATTGTAACCGAGGAGTTAAATGTTATCTTGCTGGATTTTTCAGATGACTGTAAACTGGTATTCCAAGGCTTATCTGCAAAAAGTATAATGAAACAGAAATGTTGTGTTTCTCTAAAATTGATTTATAAATCTACGGTCTCTACAGTTTGTTTTAAGTTTAAAAACGGGATTCGAATCCAGCCTCTGCTATACCGTTGCATAGCACTCACAACTGAACTATCGAGCCAACTAAGAGCTAGTCACAGTATTAGACAAACAAATTCTAGGATTCAGGACTCGCGACCTATGAGATGCTTGAAAAGAAAGTAAATACCAAATATTGACAGCTTTTCTATTTCCAGCTTTCTTGTCAATAACATACATACTCACACCAAACATCCACAGCAACTGTTCTTGAGTCAATCCCCAAGAAATTACTCGCTGTACAAAGATAAACTCCTGTGTGTGATTTTTGCGTTCTTAGTATCATAAGTCGTCCATCTTCTCCCTGCAGTGTTTGATTGGTGCCCAATAATTTCCAAGTAATAACTGGCTGAGGGTTTCCGTCACCATGGCAATAGAGTTTCAGTGTAGCACCTTCATTGATTGTTACTCTTGGTCCGGCGAGATTCGTTATCTTGGGAGAGTCTTCACAAAAATAAACAACGAAAGAATTTCAAGTTGCATTCCGAGAGGGGAACATTGGCGGTTGGAAAACCTTTGCTAATTCTTATGAAAAGTCCACGCTAAACTACACTCCAGATTTCCAAAACACGCGTAATACGCTAAATCATCATTATTTAGGGGAATTGCTTGCCAAATCTGAAATAATACAAAATACTCTTAAGAGCTTCTTGTACTCACTAAAGCACATCTAACGCGAAAACCCCTTTACGGTAATATTCTGCCATTTATTGTATTCAGTTTGAACAGCGTTAGAAATATGTTAGGACACTTCTTTGCTTTATTTGGTCGAAATTTTAGAATGCCGATAAGTATATTGTAGTTTTTTTCTTTGTCATTCTAAACGGTCAGTTAGAAGGCATGCATTTTGCACTGAAAAGTTTACAATCAAGCTTCAATTTTATATAATTTTCTTTCAATTTTCAGTGGTTACTGTTTATACTCACAATACACATTTAGAAATGCAGTATCTATGATGGGCCCTGATATTCCATTACGTGCTATACATTGATAATTTCCAGTGTCCTTTCTCTGGACAGCTTTTATTTCAAGCCTGTCTCCGTTGTAGACTTCTCCACTAGACGTGGTTGTCCAAGTGACGTTAGGAGATGGGCTACCTGTGGCGCTACATATAAAAAGGGCGGGGCGTCCTTCCGTAACGTTCAGCACATGTGGAATCACAAGAACAGCTGGCTTCTCTGAAAAATGTCAAAAAATACATGTAAAACGTAGTTGTAATTAAGCCATTCAAATATGAAACTCGTTCAAGACCAGACTTGCGAAAAACTTGACTCAAACGCGTACGTCCATAAAACTAAACTGAAAATGATCTAAATTGACTGCCATGTGATCAATTTACTGGGCTTTATTTTAGAGACACACTTAGCAGCAAAACCATGTACAAAGATGTTTTCTTTAAGGAATGTTTGGTATCAGATCAGGGAACCACAACCGTTTGATGAGTTCTATTCAAGAGAACGCATTTTTCAGAAAGAAACGTTTTTGAAATGATTTTCTTTAAATTGGACTAATGAGTTACTCTAAGAGAACTAACATGTCAACATTATTTCTTTCCGTTAACAAACTGCCGAGCAATAACTCTTACTCAGAAGTCTACATTGTAGCTTGAATATATATATATATATATATATATATATATATATATATATATATATCTGCGTAGAATATTTTAAACTGTTTTACTTGTATAAATTATACATCAGCTATATTGAAACTCACCGTAAACAGTAAAACTGACATTTCTCCGTTCTCCGAAACCGAGGGTATTTCTTGGCTCACACGTGTAAGTACCGGCGTGGCGTGGCTTGACGTTACATATTTTGTGATATCCGGACTTATTTTTCCTAATTATCTTGCCGTTGTGATATATCACATATGTAGCAGGAGATGGGCTGCTGACTGAGGAGCAGCTGAATACAACACTGTCGTTAACCCAAGCCGTGTTATCGGATGAACAGGAAATAAATGATGTGTTCATGGGACTATGGTCTAAAGTAAGAAAAGAGAAGGAAAAATACATTACGTAGGTAGGTCTTAAGAAGCTGAGAAGACAAGCCCGTCCACTCCAACTCAAATAAAATGAGTTATCAGTTTTGTGATTCATGGAAAGCGAATCACAATTTTTCAATCTTTACAAAGAAGGGTGTTACTTTAATACACTTGGATCTATGCTAAAAAATTTTAATCTCGAGTATGTTAAAACCAGATTTTCTTTGATTAAAATGCAAACAAGTCAAACGAAAACAAGCTGTGTCACAATATTTGATTAATATCAAGTTAAGAATTGTTTAGGTAGGAATGGAAGGGAGGGGGTAGGTACAACGTGGCTTAGAGGTGATCAATATATGTGTTTTACGATAAAATTCGCGAAGTTACGATCCTTTAAAAAAGATTATATTTCACTAAAACCCCGCCTTAAGGTCTGACATTTTGAATGCTAGCTTTCTGTATGGATATGTATCTTGCTCTGTATATAAGTTTTCACTTCTATGACGTCTTCTAAAACACTACTTTTTAAACCGAACATCTTCGTGACACATTCCTGGGTTGGTTTGTTGCCTTGGTTTAGTATCTAGATCTAGGAACAGTCGAGCCAGCAGGTGCCCGAGATACAATACGGGGCGAGTTGGAGCGGTGCGTGAGAGCGAGGTCACAAGCGCGGCACAAACCGAGGAAAAATCAGAACGGTATATATCTTATAGTGAAGCTATGATTATTAACACATGGAGTTATACGAGACGGGGAATGACGCAGTTTAATTGAATAGTTCAGTCTTCCTCTGGGGATAGTGCACAAACAGTGAGGCCAATTGTAAAGAGGAACACCTACGTTTAACGAATACATGTGCTGTTGATATGCTGGGCAAACCGATTCCATTTGCAGCTGTACAGCGGTATATCCCTTCGTTTGTCTTGCCTGTTATAACCAGTTCGAGTTTATTGTCAGCTGACAGAATCACTGACTGGTTACCGTCTGTAGTCCAAGTGACGTTTGGAGAGGGATTTCCTGACGTTAGACATGTTAGTGTTATGGCGTCACTTTGATTGACAGTAACATTTCTTGGAATGACTTGTGCTGTTGGTTGATCTGTTGAAAAAGATTCCAAAAATGTTTAACATCTAAGAGTAGTCTTGTAGTTAACGGAAGCTGATCCGTGCCTTTTGATTGGCCGATCTTTCACTGAAAACGACGGTATACTTTAGGTATTAAAAACGTTCGCAGCTATCACAAAAAATGTACGACAACTGAGAAGTCTGAAGGGGAGTTCGTTAACAACTCTAGGAATAATGTCTTATTTATACTGCTCAAGTATGAGGCCCGCTTGAAAAGTCTGGCCATCATAACATGTTTGCCCTCAGTGCGACTCATTAGTTCAGTGATTGACCTGCACTGAAACATCCTCCAATACCACTTGTATTGCCCTTGAGTTATCTTTGCATTGAATGCAATGCTCGGCGTACCTTTCGAATGCGCTGGTGTCCAAGCAGCACTTAAATGGACGAATACATGATCGAAGAGCGAACACCAAAACAAATTAAGGCGCCATCATTAGTGCCAAAACTGGGAGATTAACATGACTTTTTCTAGCCGCAGCATTCAATGAAAATTTTCGGACCTCACGGCTTTGGAAGGATATATTGAGATTAGATCTTAGAGTGACGCTTAAACCTACAAAATACGTTTATTCTGAACTCCACTGATTTGTTTCCAACGCTGTTCTTTGCTATGCATTCATACAGTCCTGTATAATCTCTGGACACGTTAGGAAGACTGAGATATTCTCCCGGAGGAAACATCATTTCTTTATCCTTCCTGCGCCATGTGATGATAGGGCGTGGTTGACCAGAGGCATTGCAGAAGGAGAGCAGGTCAGTGAATTCTATGATTGACGTATTCATAGGATGGATGGAAATGGCTGGAGGGGCTGCAATGAAGGGGAAAAAAATGCACAAGACACTCAATATTATAATTTAAGGTTAAGTCCTGCAGCGGGCCTGAGTGTCCCATATTCTGAGAATTTTATCTCTTCCGGGAACACGACAGAACCCAAAGCAGGGCTTCTGCCATGACTGCTCCATTTAATCGCGGAGTAACCGCTAACCGCGGCTTATTTTAATCGGCTTTCGAACAACTAGGGTCATAACTTTAATTATCTATATAGCCACTGAGCCTTCCACAATATTAGCCCGTAACTTCTTGCTCATTTTTTTTTTTTT